TCCCAAAAGTCTTTAAAATATTATTTTATCAGAACCTGTGAAACATTCTTCTAGATGATTATTACATTCGACTGGAAATGGAAAAAAGTAGCTTGGTTAATTATTTTTGTACATAACTAATAACATTCTGTTTCAAAAAACTGATGATGATGCATATTAAAGAAAATTATCTTTCTTTCGAATCAAGCGAAAGAACGAAATCAAAAACGTCTATACTTTAATAACATCCTGGTACCGTTAGTGTTGCAAGCGCTAGAAATACGGCTGGTTGGTAACTCGAAGACGGCGGAAATTGATGATGATAGAAGAGCGAGAACTTCGCTGTCCGGAAATTAGTGACTCGAAGTAGAGCGAGGAGCAGGTGCGCTTGATAAAAATATTAGGGTAAACCCAACTGTTATTGCCCATTCACACGATTAACGACCGCTCAAGTTTGTGAGTCTGCTTGGTGTAATTTTTGAGTACACGTTGAACTTTACTTCTACATAGCGCGCATACACCGTAAAATAAATAGTCAGATTATATCATATATAAGTAAAATGTACTTACCTTTTTAGGTTTTGTATTAGTATTAGCGTATAGCTCCTCTCGCTATTATGGTTGGTTGCAATAAAATTATATCATAAAAATAAAAATTATTTAACAGACAGAAACGCATATAAAAAATGAGAAAACTATAAAAAATTATTTTCAAAACAAAATCATATATTATTCGCTGTTCAGCGCAAAACTCAATTTGTAACATGATACAAAATAAAATTTATACGATATCATTGAAATAATGTTTTTCGAACATCGAATAATTATGGAAGCCAGGCTGAAAGAGGTAAATAGGGCAATAAAAAGAAACACGCGTGTTAAAAAAACATTTACATATTTATATATATAAAATATAATACAATTTGTTACAGTGTAGATGATAGTGTAGCGTTTAGATGTTAATATCGAGTGTAAATCGGGTAGGTATAAATCTAAGAGCATTATGGAACGATAGGGCGCTTGATGTTATATTATAAAGATACAAGACGCTGTCAGCCACACCTATCCGAAGTAGGTATCGAGTGTGTAGTAAGGTGCCTATGAGGTTCCCCGGACGTCGTTTAAATCTAAAACTATATATACAGGACACTTCTATGTACACGCACACGCCTATTCGCTCGATTTCCTCTTATGTGCATCTCTCGCACGCTTACACATTACGCCGCCTCGATCGCCTTGACATGTCCGCCTTTGTTGCGACAAAGGGCGCGCGAAACTCGAGATCGGCGATCGCGCGCTAATCCTCTACGTACAGTACATACATTTTCGATTTCCCGGCCATCACCACCGTTTTCGTTATGCCCGCGGCGACGTTGACATCGACCGACTTTCCGCGGCACTCCGAAACGGGAATCGTATCCCTTCGAATTCGGTTCGGTACTCCCGGCGGAATAAACATTTTTGTTGGAAATGGTGGAAGGTGGAAGACGTCACCATTTCGAGACGCTGCAAAATTCGATTTTCCGGCGTCGCAACGAGGACTTTGCTTTCAAGAAAAGAGGAAAGGTATCCTATTGACTCTGTGCAGTTACTTCGCGCACAATTTGCATAATAGCTGTTTCACATTTATCGCTATCGAGAAAAACAGTTGTAATAATTGAATTTTTTTCACTCATTTCTTAAAAGAGTTTAACAAAATTCAATTAAATTAAAAACTTCTTCAAACTTCTTTTTGAAGAACGTTCTGTAGTAATATCTCAATCATCATGTCATCGTGTGTTTGGTATAATATTTTGCTGAACATAACTTTAGAGATATAAGTACTGTACTTATAAGCAGATGTGATCAGTCACTTTGAAATGCGAGATCTTTCTTGTGTCAAATCACGAAAATATACGCGGCTGAGAAGAACAAACATTATGAAACAAATTAAAGATAAAATTAAAGCGCTATGTCAAAATTATATCGAGGCAAATTTTGTAATAATTTTATTTAACATAAAATTATTATTTTTAAAAAATTATTATGTTAATAATTTCTGACAAAAATAATGAAAGCAAGCACCTTGTAAATGTTATCAAGGGAAAGATTGATGTTGAAAAAAAACTTACTTTCGAAAAATTGCCTCGAGCATTTTCGAAGAGATGGTGAACGCCGGTAATCGTTACAAGAAAAGAAGATCGCCTAATACATCTATATACGATACAAGATCATCGAGTATAAATGGCGTAATAACACGTCGCTCTACCGTTATCTAACATAATAATTATCCCAGTTTTTTTCTTTTTTTTTTTAAAGGACATTTATTCTCGTGACGTTTCGCTTGATTGTTCTGTTCATATCACCGACAGTTCCTTAGCACCTACCCACCTCATCGACGATCCGCGTCGGCGTGTCGTCGACGATGAATATCAACTCCTCGAGCAAGGACATCGCGCCGCCCTCGCTCGTCGCGCAACGATTATTACGGGCCCGTTTCGACAACGCTGAAAATCGTCCGAATACTCCGCGGATCCTAACATGCGTGTCCACGCGGTGGAGAGAAAGAGATAGAGTCGAGGAGAAAAAGAAAGTGGAAGAATCGGTCGAATCGAGTAGTCGGAATTTCTGATTAAGTGTGCTTTATCGGGATGGTAGTAAAATTGCGCGTGCGACTTCCCTCGAGAAAACTACATCAACGCCGAATAATAGCGGCAATATCGCGTCCCATCGGTAATCGATATTTAATGCTCGAATAGTTCGTTCGAAAATAAATATTTTATTTTGACAAAAAAAAATGAAAATATTAGCGTTTCTGTTGGGTCGAAAAAAAAACTGCATTTACATTTTTCAGGTCAACGCAATATGCAAACTGTAAACAGGATGTATAGTCAACATTATTATTTAACCAAGCGTCGATATAAGTACCTCATTTTAAACGAAGTTTCTCGAAAATATCGGAAACTCGCGTGGATAACGGATTATTGGGGAAAAAAAGCGCTGCGGTGCCTGGTCTCTTTGCGTAATAATTGTCCGGCGTGCCGTTGTGAGTTATCGAAAATAGTTCACCGAACAACTACGTACCATCGGGTACCGTTGGGAGGCGACGTCATGCCGCGGATTTATCGTCCGGCAACGCCGATCGCTTTCCATCGCCGGGATATAGTTCCCCGTTCTCGCCGTTGAACCGGGTCCAATCGGAACACAATATTTGTAAAGCAATATATACTGGCAGTTCTCAGCAATTTCGATTCGACAAGTACAGCGTGGTTACGAGCGAATGATCTCCGTGCTGCTCGTGATCCTTAGTAGTCGACGGCGATCTCTGCGATTTGCGTTATACAAATGACTTTTTTTATGGGTCAAATGTGGAAATTCACGTTTTCGTAAATAATATAATAAAAAATGTATAATTTTTATATTCTTTTTTGACACGATTTCGTCATAATAATTTTTCTTCAACTTCTTTTTGTTAATAAAATTTATTTACTTGTGGGAAATGCACTATGTTGTAATGAAATATCGTGATACACACATTTGAGAGATTTGTCGCGACTGCTCAAGGATTGAGATACGGCCACTCGATTGCCCTAAGATCTTCTCTACACACACAGATTTCCCTATGACATTTACGAATTACCAGTTAGTATTAAATTGTAAAACGTAGCTATACGTGCCCGATACCGATTAGTCGCGCCTACTTTGGGATTTCGCTAGACACTAGAAGAGAAGAACAGGGAGGGGGGTTGGAGGGAGGGAGCGGTGAGGAAGGAGATCTTTCCCGATCTAACACCGAAAAGTGTGATATTGCCGAAAACATGAAGCAGACGAAAAAATTCGAAAGTCATTTTGGCTAACGAAACTCCCCGTTTCTTCCTTTTTTTTCTCGGTTAATGCCAGTGCAAAATTGAAGTCGGTGACGGCGCGTGTTTAGGGACACTTCTCCGTTTCGTTTGATTTCGAAGTGAGATAAAGTAAAGAACAAATCCGAGTGGAGAGTCATTTAAATGGAAATTATCAGGAAAAGCTTTCGAATCGAATGCAAATCGCGATGCAGATTGCACCGATCAAAAGTTTCACGAGTTTACTAGGCACCTCATATATATTTATTCGTCGTGCATTTGATTGAAATATGCGGCTAATAACAGCAATTATGATGATAACGGTAATAATATTAAATCGTTAAAGTGAGATAAACAGGCAGCTTTGGTAAAATCGAAATGGTTTCGCTTAAGTCATATACACATTGCAAATACATTATAAAATAAAAAAATCTTCGAACCTATAATTAATAACTTACTACTTACATCGAGGAATCGCGAAATGTTGCACGATCGTGCACAAATCGCATTACACTCTTATATATTCTTAAAATGTACACAAAGTCGTTAAATTAAAATGACAAAATTCATTGGAGAAACCGGGGTGTCGCCATGTGTCAGATTCGTTCAAAACTTCGGGAGTGCGAGATGTATGTGTGTAAATGCGCGTGTATTCTGTGTACGCAATATTGTGTTGAGTCGCAAGTAATCGCTTTATACATTAAATAAAGAATAAATAACTGCCCGTGAACGGTAACGAGCATTGACAAGCGCGTGAATAACATTACACGTAATAAACTGTACAGAATGTTACAAAGAGTCGTCGGGTATGTATAATATATATAGTGTATCTATTTATATATTTATATATAAACGTTGGTTAAGTAACACCTTCGCGAAACGCTCAACGAAAGAGAATACGATTTCCGTAACGAGACTTGGATTTTCGCGCGAAATTGTCATCGCGTGCAAATCAACCAATGCTTATACAATCTTGCTAAAAACGCATTTCTATATTGCTACGGTCTAATTAACAAAATGTACAGACTTTGCCGGGAACCGTGCGAGCGCGACATAGCAGATCGTCGGTGCATTCGCAGTCACCCAATATTTTCCAAGTGACATTCTCCGGAAATCCCGGGGCAGCATAAAATAAAAGTAAAGTTTTGCAATTTTCGCTATGAATGAAAATATATTCCCGTCGGCAAAGAAATAATATCACTTTTAGAATTTTATTTTTACGGATTAACTTTTTTTACTTAATATAAAAAAAATTAATGAGATTTTAAATTAAAACACCGCGATGAAAGTATCGATCTCGCGACATTATTTATTTATACTTTATATTTATACTTGATTTGTCTTTATGTTTTCTCTTTCATAAGAAAATAATCAAAAGCCTTGATATTTTTGTCGTATTTTACATTGTCATATTTTATAAATTTATTTTAAATTTAACTTAAAAGCGCTGCACTTTGGGAACTTTGGGACGCACCTTGCGAAGTAAAGTCCGCGAAATGTACTTTCGCAGAAATTGCAATGTCTCTTGTGTATTATGTCTGCGCGCGCGCGACTTCCGATCAGCAAATAAACAGCCAACAATTAAATTCTCGCGAGTACCTCGAAAGAAGCTTGAAAGTAATTTCGCTCTGTCGACAGAACCGCGGAAACTTGCGAGGATATCTCTCGTTTGGAATCATCGGCCATCGACGAAAAGAGCCGTGCGACAAAAGGTCAAACAGCATTTTTAATACTTTAATTATCGAATGTTACTTTCTCCGCTCACTGAGATGAACTAGATACATTTTAATGCGACTTAAAAGCGGCTTTAGTTGGTACTGGTAGCACCAGGCAGCTATCGCGAAATGGATGATGATAGAATGACTCACACTAGGTGCCAACGATGAATGGCAGCTTTATCAGGCAGTGTGATCGCGGGACGAACTAATTAACTTAAACTGTAAATGGATAGTGCAGCCACCCGCAGTGTCATTTTCGTATTCATTGCATGCGCCTCGAACGAGTTCGTCCGATTTCAATCATTATCACAATTCGTACAATATTAAGAATCACGTAGATTAACATTTCAAACATTTCTACGATAACGAAACTATTCAATAGCAACTTTTGTCAGATTTTACTTGCAATTGTAACTACGGTCTTTAAATAATTCCAATATGTTGGAATACAATATTGTATTCCTTGTAAATTTTCAAAACTTTTTGTCAAAAATAATTAGCTACAGAGCGATTTTGTGGGCCCCTCTCTATAATACAATTGATAAGTTATTTTAACTTTTGATTATGTGCCAAAGTATTGTAGGCAGCGAATGCATTTGTACGTAGAGAACGGAGAAGCTCTCGCGTTATTCGTTTCCGTCGACTCGCACCTTTGACTCCGACGTGCCGAAGCGCACGTACGACATGGCCGATGCGCTCGTATTCGAGAGATACCTCGCTACGATCGTTCTGCACGAGCGTGCGGGATATTACAGATTTTCTGCAATAGCGCGTTTCGAATATGGTATATGCAAATGTGCCGGGTATAAATAATAATGCAAATTTCAGGTGAAAATTGTCACGGCAATTTATAGCTATTTCGCATCGAACGCGGGACTTCCGCGTTTACCGTGTTCGAAATACCGTATCGCAAAAACTCTCTATTACATAACAGTGGTGCGCGCGAGCGGAAGTCGCGAAAGAGAAAAGCCGATCGCGAAACGAGGACGCGATAGATCCGATCTCGCGCGCTCGGTTTCACCGCGGGCGGAATTAACGCGCATCCACATCCGCTTCCGCCCAGCGCAGTGTCATTAGCTCTCTCGTTCCTGCACAACTTTCAATTGTCCAGATGAATGTTTGGTTAGCATTGTCCCAAGTTTGAAGATCGCGTACATTCAATATTATTAAGGACAAGGGCATATTAAAAACTCGACGTAAAAAGAGCTTGTAAGTGCCAAAAACAAAAATGTAGGAACGAATTTGATCTAAATATTTGCAGCAAAAATACTCTGTACGTTTATTTGCTATTTCATAAAGTGTTCTAACAATAGCACTTACAACATTTATAGAATCATTTGCCTTGACGTGCGGGAAAAATATAATAGCGACTGCCTTTTCTAGATCGAGTCTTTAACTATTTTAATGTGTTTCTAACGATCAATATGTTTTCAGTTAAATTTTTTTTTAAACATTTTCCGATACACAGCTTTATAGTGACAAGAAAGAAAAGCTGGGAAAGAGAAAGTTAACGTCTCTTGCAGGTAAAACCGAGCGCCGTGTACGGCGGATGAGATATTTTCAATGACGCCACCGTAAAATTACCATAATTTTATTTCAACACCTATAAGTCGAGATAACGTGGATCCGGTAATTTCCGCTACGTCTCTATGATATATGTATGTATATAGGTTTTACCTACACCGATTGAATGCCGATTGCAATTGTCCTTTCCCATTCGCGGAAATTCGACATTCTCGGCTGAGGGCTGGCGAACTCTTCGCAATATGCGCGTTTTTATGAGCTGCTTACTTTGAAAGTTATGTAAATTCGGTCTCGTTCAGATGGAGATTGTGTGAAGAGTTCGATGAAACGCGAATGTAAAGTGCGATGCGGTACGTCAATTTCGATGGGATTCTCTCGAAAGCGAACTTGCACCACTTTCAAATTAAACACGTCACGTCATTCTTAATCAGTTTCAATTACTCCACCACCGTTTTCCTATTCCACCAACATTTTACTATTCGGTATCGGAATAATGAAGATCGTAAATTCTCTATTATCGAATAAAAACACGATATGGTACACGAGGAGGGTCGCGCCAGCCGTCAACCGCGTCGGAAAAAAACACCTCTCAGCGGGAAAAAAACAAAGAAAAAAAAAATCGCCAATCGAATCTTCCGGCGAATCCCGGACGCGCTCGATCGGAGAACGATAACACCTATCTAAGTCTAAGTTTCGCGTCGCTGAGATTGGCATGTACTTACGCGAACGCATGCACGCTCCAGCTGTTGCTCGTTCCGCCGCGGGTTCGATCGCGATGGACGACCACCAGGGTGATCCTGGATCCGAGTGTACTCGAACGATCGATCGACCGGCGGCAACGTTCACCTGAACGCGGCGCCCGCGACGACGGTGACGGCAGCTAGGATCACCGCTGCCGATACCGTGCGGCCACACGAGCTGCCGACCGCGGGTCCGGCGTCGCTGCTGCGCGACACCTTGCTGCGCACCAGCTGGCCTCGCTCGACCGCGTTCGTCTCGTCGCTGTCGGGATCGACCGGCGCGCCGATGTCGTCGTCCTCGCTCAGCATCATCGACAGCTTGTTCCGCAGCGGCTTCTTCGTGCAGGGCACGGTCGTCTCCTCGTACGGCCTGAGGATGCGCGGATAGTGCGCCTCGAGATTGTCCGTGCCGGGTAGGGCGCCCTTGCTGCCGCCGCACAGCGGCTTGAACGTGCCGCTGCGAGTGGCTTCCTGGAAACTCTGGAAGTTCGTCTCCCAGTCGTAGCTCACCAATCGTTCCTCCAAAGTCATGTCCGCTAGATTCTGCGGCTCCTGAATCTTTACCGGACTGGAACCCCTGCACCCGAATCAAAGCCAAGCCTCAAGTCGCTATTCCTCTTATGTTCTTCGTTTAATTTCTTTTACACGCGCAAACAGCTTGCTAATCGATTAATGATGGTTTTAAGAAATTAAGCATGTAAATAAGCAAGTTAAGAACACACGAAGGAAATTATTATTGCATAAAACAAGTTTATTTTTAATTGTTAGACGAACAACAATTATTTTTTACCTAATCTTTTTATGAAAAACGACAAAATGTTTCGAACAAAATTTTAAGAATATATGTTCAGTTTTATCTTGTTAATTCTTCGCAATTAATTCTTAGTGCTTCGCAAACGGCAGTTAATAGACCGATACTTTGGTTCTCCAAGTCAGCAAAGTATTAATATTATTACATCACATGATTTTTTGGTTGATATAATGCAAGTTAATGAAGATTCAACTTACGGCACTAATTTCTGAATTCCCAAGCTGTGCAGTACAGTCGGTAGCGACGGTAAAGAATAACAAAGAGATAACTCAATGCGAGGATAATATAGAGCGGACACCAGGCAAGTTTCTTCTCTCGTTCCCAAGCCGCCGAGCGTGATGGCCCCCCGGGATTCGGACGAGTACGTGCATTCGGCGACTAAGTGATCGCTCTATAATACAAAAAGAATCGCAACATGAGCATTAAGCTTATACAGAGAATCTTAAAAGTCTTGAAAAACTCGTGATTTTTTTTCGACAATTAAATAAAACAACAGAAAGACTAAAGCACAAATTTAAAAAAATGGCGCAGCTTCCAGTTTTCTGTGAAAAAAAGTTCCAAGATCTATATCAGTTCTTTATCGCAAATCGTAAATACGATTTTTATTATAGTTATAATGCATTTTTATTCTGTGTTAACACGTAATAGCGTTTAAGCCCTCCGGTTTCAAGCCCCCTCAAACAATTAAACTCAGGTTCATGCCCTGCATCTGTAGCATGTCGGCACTTTACGTGATCAAAGCTATACTTATTGCACGTTAATAAACTTTGTAACAAGCTCATAAACTTTCTGATACGTGCTACGAGTTATAATGCAGCTAAAAGTACGTTCGCGGCAACACAAACGAAAGGTGTGCAACGCGGCGGAAACAGAACAAAAAAAAGTGGAAAAAAATAAGAATATATCAAGGACCGCTGTAGAAGACGTAAGTTACTCGCGAAGCGCTTAAGAATAATCTCGGATTACTTTCGAAGGGAAAAATCTCAGTGGATAGGGAGATTTGAGATTCTTTTTCCGATTTCTTCGCGATTCTCTTACTAATATCTCTTAGCTGGAAATATTTTATAATTGCGTTAAGCATCGCTATATAGAGAAGACGAACTTTAATAAATTAGCCATTGATTTGATTTCTGATATGACGATTAAAGTAAAATTTAACTAAAGAACATGATATCCTACATCTTCTTTCAAATAATTATGTTTGAATAGAAAAACACGTAATATTAAGTTAATGCGAAAGATTTCTCGTCTTTTAGTAAAGATGTATATTAAAATTAATGTAGACTTGCATTGAAAGAGCTCGGAGTCCCTTAAATCAAGCGTACAAAAACTTGATTCTAAATGGAAAAAATAAGACTAAAATGAGGATTATTTTAATTGATAAAAATTATCTCGAAACTCTGTACAATTCTGTCTTCAATTTTACTTGACAAGCCTTTCACGACAACCTAATATTACGCGGCGCGTTATGCATGCTACTTAAGATTGTACTTACCGGGTACACCTTAACCGGTCTCTGAAGCTTCCGATATTCCTGATAATTGGGATCGTAGTTGGTGTCGGCGGCGATGGGCGGTAGCTCTTCGCCGGCGCGGATCTGCCGCAGGCGGACCTTTCTGCCGAGCTGGTGGGTGTGCATGATCACGGCGAACATGTTGATGCCGCTGTTCGGAATCGTCTGGCCGGTGCAATCGGCGATGCAGTGGCCCTCGGAGACCACCTCGGGCTGGCCCGGCGGTATTATGTGCCGCCAGTTTGGGTCGATGCCGACGCTGAGGATGCCGGCGTCATGGGCGCGCAGTCGGTCGGTGTAGAGGAGACGCAGGCCGCTGCTGTCGCTGATGAAGGCGTCCAGCTGCGGGTTCGTGTAGTGGGTCTCCAGCATGTAGTAGCGCGGACCCGTGTACGGATTGAGCGCGTATCCGGCCTCCGGCGGATAATTAAAGCCCTGGCGCAGCGAAAGGGGGAGAAAGGGAAACGATGGATTATGCAGAAGCCGACGGTAAATAAAAAGAGGACCGGCAGCTCGAGTGTACGCGCTCTGGTCCGGTTCTGATCGGGGGCCCGCTCTCGCGTCTCCGATCTGGTCCGGTCTGATCTCGCCCCTCACCTCGGCGGACGTTTCAGCTCCGGTATAATCGGTGTACGCCTCGATTCCATCAGCGGGCTCCCGATCAACATTGTCGTTCGCGGAATTCGTTTCCTCATTGGCGGTGCACGCGTACGCGAATTACGCTTGATTGCTAATTTTAATTTTCGGATACCGATGACGAGATAAGGATCCGCTCGATTCCAAGAATCGCGCCGTAATTGCCGTCTTAATAAGTGCTTTCTTCTAGATTTATTAAAGCCGAGGTAATTGTGATTATGCGCGTTATACTTGTTTGCATTATTAATGAGATTTTCTTTTAGCTTTAGATGTACAAACTCTGAGATAAGATACATTTTTTTCCATTTTCCTGGAATTTCTACGGCTCGGAGTATTGCACCTTATCTTCATCATGGAGATTCCGTTTAACATTCATGTTGAAGATTAAAAATGTGTATAGCTAAATTTAAATATTAATTACTATCGTTATTTCTGAAGCTAAAATTATTAAGACACTAATTTAGCATCAATTATTAAATACAAAGAAATATTTAACGTCTATTGTCAATTAACATTATCATTAATATTCTTCTCCTAATTAATGTCCCGTAAATCGTACATAAGATTCCGGCACGTTTCATGATCGGTTGGAATTTCGCAGGGTGTTCATATTACCGATAACCACGAAGAAACAAGTTTACGGTATTCCCGTTCTCACATTGGTATGCATTACACAAGATGCGAATTATCACGAAACTCCGAACGTGTCTTGTAGGATTGCGCGTAATGCTTAACGAAGAATCGCACTTTATTAAAGAAGAGCGTTTCCGATGATTTAAGCCCGACGTAAAAAATAAATGAAATGCTGAATTTGAGATTATTTGCGTACAATTTCGGCATATTTTTGAAGGAAACGAATTACACGATAGTTATATATTTTTATTTCTTAATAAATTAAATTGAAGACCTCGATGCAACAATTGCGTAGTTTTATTATTGGCAGAATCAAAAGTGATTAGAAAATTTAGATTAACAGTCATCACAAAGCGTGTAATTAATAACAATAAGTAATTTTTCAAATTTCCATCTTGCATATTTTTTTATTTTCACGGCTTTTTAACATACGCTTTTCACTATGTTTGCAATTGTTGAAAATTTGGAAACAATATGGAAACGACATTCGGTGCTGTCGCATCGAGGTTTCTGTGTGCGAGCGTGAACGAAGTTTTCGACGTACCTCAGATCCAAGGCTCCAAGTGGCTGCGATCGTGTTGCACTGGAATCTGGGTTTATCAGAATCGTCGTAACAGACACTCCCCGTCGTTTGGGCCGCGGATTCCAATTGGGCTTGCTCTCCGCGGCACTCGTACAGGGTCATGTGGTGCAGGTATTCGTGGCTTCCCGGCTGAATAACTGGTTCGTACTGAAATGCAGAACAGCTCGTAATGCGTACAAGCTCGTAACGAGGATTAATGTCGGGCGCATTTCGGTTGTCTTCGTAACACGTCTGTGCGCTCAAGAGCAATGCGCATCTTGACATTCTTATTACGGAAGAATCGACGTCGAAATGGTCAAAGTCACGAGTTCAACGGGTAAAAATAATTAAACCGCTTATTTATATAATTTTACTGGATTAAAAATACAATATTTTCCAATTTTCTCATTAAAATTTTTTTTAATTTTCTGTGACGTTTTGCAAACGAACAAATCTGATTATGAAACTGTACATTCGTTGTTTCGATTTAAAGCGAAACCGTCAAAAGATAAATCGATCATTAACTATCGGTACAAATGGAATATCAGTATCAATAGAAAGAAAATGCACTTCACACTCCAATAAGTACCGTTTCTCGCCATTTGAAGAAAACTGTTCAAGCGCAAAATTGGAAAAGAGCGAGCTTCAACACAACGGAGCTGACTCGCGCGGCGGTATCTCTCGCGCTCCCACGTCGGGGAAACGTGCCGTTTCAATTCGTTCGCAATAGGAACAAGAAATTAAAGGCCCGGCGATACTCTGGTTAACAGCCGCTCGCTCGACCGTTAACCTCGCAATGCCTCGACGCGCCGTCAGTAAAAGTTCCGTAAAACGCGCGGGGGAGTAGGTGTCCGCGTTTTAAGCGCTTGAGTTATCGCAATCGGAACGCTAATCGTCTCTCCGGCTGCTGCGCCGGGAACACAGTGCAATCGCATCGCATAGTTAGGTCACGTCCGATCGAGTTCGAGATTCAGGTGTCGGTCGGTCGAGCAGCGCTAGATAGAGCGAACTATATCAGCTCCCCCCCCCATCCCTCCTCTCAAACACATCGTTCTAAAACTCCCCGATACGGATATGAACATCAGCGCCGAATGAGATACGATAAAGTAGAAAAATGAGACAAAGAAGTAGGAAATAGAATAAATGGAATATAAAATAAAGCGTGGAAATAAAATATACAGGTGTAATATCAAAAGAGCCTTCTCACGGACGTGCTGACACGGTGACGGCGATCATTAGTCATTTACCCGTTCCGGTTTTCCAGCAGCTGTCGGGCTTTATATCGCGTTCCAACAGAAATTCGGTAGGAATACGGCTAGCAGAGATTTTATTGAGTTATCATATGTTTTGCGAGGTGAAACTAACTTGAGAGGCGTAAAATGTGAATTGCGTTTGTGATATACATGTATCTCTTTTGGCTAAATTAACATAAAATTCACGAATGAAGAGTCAGCAAAAGTGGGCATGTGAAATTTGAAATTTATAGCGGAGAGGTAGCGTTTACATTATCTCTTTTTATATATCAAAAATTTCAAAGATAATACTTTTTTCAATTACATTTTTTTCAAGTTGCAATCGATTTTTCCTCGAAATATGTTTTCAACGCACGCTGTCTATTAATATTAAGGGCATTAAATGTGTGACATCCTAATGTCATACATATCAAATGTGAGATAAAAGCTGAAAATTTTTAATAATATGTATAATGAAACTGATAACGGAATATTTTACTGGTCGAAATTTTAATTTCGATAACGGAGCAGCGAGAAGATATAGATCAAAAAATATTATCATAATGTAAAATGCATTCGATTGGTAATAAAATATTCCGCGTTATGTTGAATTCGCGCACAAACAGAAGTCGGCAAACACAGTTTACTGCCTGCTTTGGGTTTTACTGCCGGTCCGACGCCGATTTTTAACACGCAATTTGGAGAACCGCGCGCTTCTGCATCGGAATGGAACTTATTACCGACGTTGAATCGAATTGCGCAGCAGTAATACAAGGTTTATGAGCAGCTGCTTCGTCACTGCCGCATTTATCGATGACATCTCGTGCATCGATCTGTCATCATTGGTAGTGAAACCCGGCGGCCGGAACGATCTCGCCTACCGCATTGATCCCGCCGTCCTACAGATCCGCCCAGTCGTATATATTTACGATGTAATTTCATAACCGAATTAATCGATTGACCTCGATAAGCAAATCGAAATATTCTACAGTCGAGTAATGAGGCCGATCATTACTTCGCACTTTTTCTGCATGCCATAAAAAAGTCACATACAAAAATATTTGAAAATTTAAGCATAATACTTATAGAAATTCAAAATTAAAAAAAATGTTAACTTAAAAAGATCAAACTTATAAAATTACGTTCATATTTTTTTAAATTTTGTCAACAATTAAAGTATCATTTAAGAGCTCGCGAAGAAATATATGAATTGAAACTATTCTTCTAGGATATATCGAAACATTTCTTTTTTTGAATGTTTTGACGCCGGCTATGATTAATCATCCGGTATGAAACATCGTAACCTCCAGATTATCATTTTGCGCGGCATATTTATCGGACGGCTACCTGAAGATGTTGCATCTTCAGACGCGAAAACACGCGAGGCTGAAGAGTATCTCTCGTATGGTGAGAAGGGGAGGGAAAGGGGGGAGATAGGAGGGGCGAGTCGGCAAACTCGACGTGCAGTTTCTTCGGCATTACAAGAGCATCCACCTTCGCTTTAATCAAGTCGGAGAGCGGCGGGTGCGCGTTCGCGCGCGCGCGCGCGCGCGCGAGCTACCGTAAACGGGTTATATACCTGGAGGAACTCACCTTCACGACGTGGTGTTTGTGATTAATGCTCGGCATCTTCAGGACACGGCACCATAGCAGCGTGTCTTGCCCCATGGGTAAACGAACCTGCACAGCAATTCCAATGGTACTTCGTTAAGCGAGTATAATTCCACGCGAAGCTAACAGATAGAATTACTATTTTGGGACAGAACATCGATACTTCGTATCGACACCTCGCGAGGAAGTATCAATGCTCTGTATCAGAAAGAAAATATAGGTTAAGATATATGAAGTACTTCTTATATAGAGCAAACTAATTTAAAACCAGTTAAGAAACCGAACTGTAAGATATTGCTAATAACATAAGTAAAATTAAAAAAATATGGAAGTGCTTTCTCTGTAAATCCAGTTAGTTTCTTTTACTTTACTTTCGGTATTTCTGTCATTTTAAAAAATTAGAGTTTCTAACGAAAGAAGAATTTCTCTGAGGATTTTAAATTAATTAAAAAGCCGCTTGAGGTTTGAAAAGAGAGAGAGAGAGAGAGAGAGAGAGAGAGAGAGAGAGAGAGAGAGAGAGAGAGAGAGAGAGAAGTAAGTAAGT